GGCATGGGAATGACGAGGGGAAGGCTAAAGTTGCTTGGGATTCCATTGCTCTTCCTAAAAGAGAGGGAGGTTTGGGGATAAAAGATTTACTAGGGTGGAATCAAGCATGCATAGTCAGGCTGCTCTGGTTATTTTTGTTGAATTCTGGGACACTCTGGGTAGCCTGGATGTATGCATATAAGTGCAAGCAGGGGGTTTTGTGGACAATGAGGGTTCCTTATGGTGGTTCTTGGACTTGGCGGCGCTTACTTAAGCTGAGGCCTCTGATTCATACTTGGCTGCATAAGCAAAACAATGAGGTATTTTGGGGGACAAAGCTGATGAGGAAGTACTCAGTGCGACAAGTCTGGGAAACGTTACGAATTCGAGCTTCTGAGGTCCCATGGTACAAGCTGGTATGGTGTAAACCTTGTCCTTTGCGTTATAATTTCCTTGACTGGCTTATAATCAGGAATTCTATTGTTACTCGAGACAAGTTACAGAAATGGGGGAAGATTACAGATGCTTCCTGTCCTTTATGTGGAGGAGATGTTGAGTCAAGAGAGCACCTGTTTGTACAGTGCTTGTTTATACGTCAGGTTACCTCTATTTTGCGATGCGATTTGCTTACCTATAGTAGTTGGGATGGGATGTTGAGTGGTGTTTTGAATGTAGTAAGCAGGGACTCAAAGTTGGGGCATTGGCATGCTATGATCTGGTGCATTCTTTTGTCTTTCGTGTGGAAGGAACGCTGTGCAGTGATACATGGCTCTGTCTGTAAAACCCCCGCTCGGCTAGCTGATCTGTTGCAAGAGGAGTTGTGGTTTATTGTCGCTGGTCAACCGGAAATGCAAGCTGAACTAGAGCTATTGGGATACATATAGATACAGCTTCTGGTCTTAGTTGTTTTCTTTTCTCTTTCTTGTAAGTAGTATCAGATGAGGGGAAAAAAAAACAAACAAACATAAAAAGTGGAGGGATAGTAGAGGAAGTTGTATTGCATAGGGTCTTTGGGATACTATCTCGTTGTATCGGTTTCTTTCTATGAGCAATAAAAGCAACTGATTCAACGGAAAAAAATAGAAATCCATTCTCTTATACACTCTGGGTAGCCTGGATGTATGCATATAAGTGCAAGCAGGGGGTTTTGTGGACAATGAGGGTTCCATATGGTGGTTCTTGGACTTGGCGGCGCTTACTTAAGCTGAGGCCTCTGATTCATACTTGGCTGCATAAGCAAAACAATGAGGTATTTTGGGGGACAAAGCTGATGAGGAAGTACTCAGTGCGACAAGTCTGGGAAACGTTACGAATTCGAGCTTCTGAGGTCCCATGGTACAAGCTGGTATGGTGTAAACCTTGTCCTTTGCGTTATAATTTCCTTGACTGGCTTATAATCAGGAATTCTATTGTTACTCGAGACAAGTTACAGAAATGGGGGAAGATTACAGATGCTTCCTGTCCTTTATGTGGAGGAGATGTTGAGTCAAGAGAGCACCTGTTTGTACAGTGCTTGTTTATACGTCAGGTTACCTCTATTTTGCGATGCGATTTGCTTACCTATAGTAGTTGGGATGGGATGTTGAGTGGTGTTTTGAATGTAGTAAGCAGGGACTCAAAGTTGGGGCATTGGCATGCTATGATCTGGTGCATTCTTTTGTCTTTCGTGTGGAAGGAACGCTGTGCAGTGATACATGGCTCTGTCTGTAAAACCCCCGCTCGGCTAGCTGATCTGTTGCAAGAGGAGTTGTGGTTTATTGTCGCTGGTCAACCGGAAATGCAAGCTGAACTAGAGCTATTGGGATACATATAGATACAGCTTCTGGTCTTAGTTGTTTTCTTTTCTCTTTCTTGTAAGTAGTATCAGATGAGGGGAAAAAAAACAAACAAACATAAAAAGCGGAGGGATAGTAGAGGAAGTTGTATTGCATAGGGTCTTTGGGATACTATCTCGTTGTATCGGTTTCTTTCTATGAGCAATAAAAGCAACTGATTCAACGGAAAAAACTAAAAATCCATTCTCTTATACACTACTTCAGATAATTTATAATTATTTAACATATTATAATTAGTTAATTGTTATTATACTTAATTTACTTATTTTAGCTCTATTTACATAATTAAAAAAATAAGTATCAATTAATTTGTAGAATATTTTTTATAATTTATAGTTGTTCTATATCATAAATATAATTAATAAACATACATATAATTATAAACATGATATAATTATTAATATAATAAAATTATTAAATAAATAGAAAGTTGAGTTAAATACTTGTTATCATTTAGCGACGAGCTTTTGTGACGTTTTGAAACCGTCGCTAAATGCGCGGTCGGAAAAGCAGCCGCCAGAATTTTGGGGTTTTTATCCGTCCTTCTGCCAGCGTCGGATGGCGTCCGCCTGCCGTGGTCGGGGTTGTGTTGTAAAAAGTAGACGAGAGGTAAAAATTAATTCACTGTCTAAATAGCAAAACTCAACGGGCGTACGGTAGGCTAGGGTACGTCCGGGTGTACGCTAGCCTTTGCTATATATATATATATATATGGTGCCGTATTCGGTGCACCCATATTTTCGGGTGCACTCAGTGCACCCGCCTCATAATTGTCATTCTGACCATGTGATTCATGTCAAAACGGTACCAATTGTGGCTTATGATATTATGAACAAGAAGCACATGAATTTGAAAAAAATTCATTCAAAATTTACTTTAATTCGAAGGATTTAGGATTTAGGGATTTAGGGTTAGGGTTTAGGGATTTAGGGTTAGGGTTTAGGTTTACAATTTGGGATTTTGTGTTGGGATTCAAAATTGAAGGTTAAGGGGTTAGGGTAATGGATTGATTTGTTATGATTCTATTTCATATCATCATATTATATTGAGAGTACTAATTAAAGTTCAAAATTTGATGTATTATGGAAGCTTTTAGTGCACCCAAAATAGTGAGGACACCGAAGTAGGTACCATATATATATATATAATTTTGTTATTCAATACAACCGAATCATAAAAAAATTATTTAATATAATAATAAAACCAAGATGATTCATTTGAATTAGTTTTTTTTATTTTAATTCTCATTCATATTCTATTTGTTAAGTTCTTTTCATTCATGTGACATCAATTTGTAATACATCACAAAATATTTTAATTGTTCATCATCCAAACCGCTAACAATTTCTTTTTTTTTTATGGTAAACCTGTGCTTCTCATTAATCAATTCCTGTCGTTACATCATCGAGCTGTAATTGATCAATCAAACAAATTGGTAGAGTATCAAACCAAACCACTCTCTCTCCCCAAGGAGTCATCGCTCTCGCCATGATGTGAGCTGCACCATTCGCTTCTCTTGGGATATGTCGGCACTGACCATTAAGCTGTGTAAGCCATCGCCACATACTCCGACAGACCACCCCTACTTCGGTCAGATCACGGGTCGGGTTCTGGATTTTTGAGACCAGAGTCATGCAATCACTCTCCAACATAGGGATGCCATATTCCAGACCTGCTGCTGATTGAATTCCCATCTCCGCAGCCATGGCCTCAGCCATCTCTACACTGTAATCCCCTCTCAATATCTTTGCAGCAGCCAGAACAAAAACCCCGTTACTATCCCGTACCACCACTCCGAGACCAATACCCTCCCCCCATCAAGCATGGTCGCGTCCGACGTCACAGAGAATCTTCCCGGCCCTGGCTTACACCATTTTTTCGCAGCTGCAACAGTCACTTCAGGCTGTTCAATTTCCTGGTGTTTGCGGTAGTCCTCTAAGAAGTATTTAGCTCGGAGCACTATCTCATTCTCGGGTAGCTTAAGCCCATTCCAGTATTGTGCATTCCTTTCCTTCCATAGGAACCAAAGCAACACACTCCACCCTTCAATCACGCTTTCCTCCATTGTATTCAGCACAGTCGTCATCCATGTCATACAATCCCCTGATGCTCTAGCTTCAAAGCAGTTCACGAATTCCGATGACCGCCATATCCGGGATCCCCATTGGAACTCGCTAAACACATGAACTTGCGTCTCTTTTTGGTTGCAGAAGACACACCTATCGTCCCATCTCTGATTTCGCCTCCCTACATGATCGCCCGTCGGGAGCGCATCCCTGGTGAACCGCTAACAATTTCTCTAAGAACTTCATCCAAAAATTACTTTTAGAACGGATAAAATGAAACTAAATTATAATAATCTAAACAAATCTCACATAAATAAAACACGAGAGAAAACTAACAAAATTTGAAATGTTACTTCAACTCAACTAGCCCATTTGTATTTGGATAATGCCGAAACGCTTTCCACCTGGGTGTTACTTGTGTGTGATTATAGTAGCATTATCCTAACTAACCTTCTGACTCTGAACTCAATACCCAAACTTTTAACCAAACCCTATTCTATTTCTATAGCTACCTTCAACTCCAATCTCCACATTCTCCCTCCCTCCTGGCCCCCATTATCTAATAAATACAAAAAAAATAAAATATATAATTAGCAACCAGCAAGCATGGGCATGGAAAAGAAATCCATTCAGAGCTTAGTGACCAGGCCTGCGTGTCAATACTCGAAATTCCAAGGGCTTTATGGTAAATACTCACAAATAACCTCCTAGTCCTAGATGTCATACGTGAGCACTTCTGCTATGCTATATAGTATTGGTGTTTTAATGTACAACTTAAAGTTGTACCATAACATTAAATGTATAGATTTAGGTTGTACCATAAAGCAATTTGTACCATTATGTTATGATACAACTTTACAACTTGAAGTTGTACCATCACATAAAAGTACAAGTTCAAGTTGTACCATAAAAGAATTTGTACAAAAAGTATAGCTACAATCTGAAGTTGTACCATAACGTAAATGTACAATTTTAAGTTATACTATAAAAGCAAACCCTATAACACCAATACTATATAACATTGTAAAATTTCTCGTCATAAGTAGGTAGGTGTTTGTTTATTCAGAAGGAAGCTGAGCTCAACTCGATCAAATAAAAACCTCCCCTTCTTCACCCTTTGCCCCTTCCCTCATCGAACAGCCATGTGAATTGACTCCTAAATCCCTCACAAACCCCGCACTCCTCCTCTCTGATTAGCTAGCTAGTGATCAGATTTTAATTAATTAATAGTTTTAACAAACAAATATTCAATCAATCCCTGCATTTTAAAAATATACCAGGAACAATTCTGAGCGCAGCTTAGCTTAATTAATACACAAACAGACACACTTTCTCTCTCTGTTCTTCTTTCTTTCCCGTCTTCTTCTTCTTCTTCTCCATCGACTCTCTCATCTCAATCCCTGGGTCGTTCTTCGTCTTCTTTCCGCCCGCCATGGATCATATGCCTTCTCCTTCCTATTCAGTACCGCTTCTTCTTCTTCGACATCTTTGAGCTCCCGAGTAGTCTCCAGGTATGTTAACGTTTCTTGCTCTCTTCCTTTTCCCACTCCATCTGATTAGCGTCTTGTCAAGCTTCTGATTTTCTTGCTTGTTTAGTGCTTAATCATGCGATTAATTGGATTACGTCTTTGCTTCGAAATGATGAAGCTGTTGCTCGATGATGTGTTAAATGATCAGAAGTTTATCCTCGAAAAAATTAAGTAATTAATGATTAATTAGTAATTTGCCAAGTGTTCTCTTTTGCCTGTAGCTATAGCCAAGCGGTCCCGTGCTTTCTTTGAGATAGCAGGAATAAGTACAAAAGGTCAAAAAGGGCAATTGCCTAACAATTCCCCGGACGGAAAATCATTCCAGGAATTCAATTCCCCCTTTTTATTTCCCCTCCCCCAACCGAAATGCGCACGCACGCACCGCTCACGCTCCGGAGTGGAGCGTGCAGTCCACTACACTCAATTATTTTTCCTTATATTCTTTTTGTGGAATTATATTGCAAAAAATATAAAAAAAAAATTTTAGACAAAGCCAAATTAAAATGTATGTTTGTTAGGGGTAGTGAGGGATACCTGGTGCGCACATTAGCGATAGTGGAAGTGTATGTGTAAAATAATTTGACTCCCTGTAGCTGCTGCTGATAACGATATGAACGAAATGAAGGTGCTATTAATTTATTATTTTATATTATTGAATAATGAATAGAAGCTGGAGGGAGGGGAAAAAAAAAGAAAAGGGCCCAGAAAAAAACATCCCCACCTAAATCACTGCGTCATCAACAATTAACAAACCATCCACTCAACTTCCCACAATACCTTTTCTGTGGTTCGCGTGTTAAGATATAAGGTTGATGCGATGTATTCTTGAGTTCAATTTTAATTCAAATTTTTCGTGTTAATCAACTAATAAGACTACATTCCATAATTATTCATTCTTGTCAATTTCTCAAAGGAACCGTTAATTTTTTTTTAATTTTCCTTCTTAAAAACTCCATTTTTAGCCCACTGAAAGAGGACAAGAATTGTTTATTCATTATAACTCGAAATAATTGAGAAAGACAAAACAGAGAGAGAGGAAAAAAAAAGGGAGGGAGGGAAGGGGGGAAGTGAGAGAGGGATGACAGTGAGTGTGTGGGTTATAAGCTACAATGAATTCCCATATAGTGTGGATTCCGATTCTATCTTGTGGGCAATGATGGTGGTGCCACTGTTCAATTGCAACACAAGTTCCACTAACCATCACCTCTTCCTTCTTCTCCTTCTTCTTCCAGGTTTCTTCCAATTCCTGATTCTGCCTGCTCTCTGTTCTCCGTGGCGGGAAACTCACGCCCATTGCTGACATCAGTTTGAAATCCACAACCAGGTACGTTTATGGCCGCGGCTCTTCAATTTCTACCCTTTTTTGGGTTTTCCCCCTTCCTATCAGTGTCCAAGTTGGTTTTTTTCTCTGGAAAGTTTGTTTGGTTGCTGGGAAAGCTGAAGAGAGTTGACCCACTCTGGACTCTGTTTCCTTTCCTGCTTCTTTCAGGCTTCCCCCTTCCCCTTTCTCTTTCTCCTCTCAAAACTCTGTTTTCATGGAGGGAGAAGCAGTTGCATATTAGGGCGTTAGGCCGATTTGAATCGGATCGGGTTGTGTGCTAAATCAATAAAGGTTTCTTCTTTCTCGTTCTCCTTTCTCCGAAATTGTCATGTTGAAGAACACTAGTGAGTTGGGAGAGCCCAAGTTTGGACCTTTTGTCTGTATTGAAATCGGAATAGTCCTGTTGAAGAAAGCTACCGAGTTGGGGGAGGCCAAAGTTGGCATCTTTTGTCTGTCTAAAAATCGAAATGATCATGTCAAATCATGGGTTTGGAGTTGGAGGAGATCCACAATACTTTATGCCATAAATTCGTGGTTAGTAACAGTGTGGTGAAATTTCCAACACGAGATATTTTGGTTAAAGGATTTGATAAGTTGCACTAACTACTCAAATTGTTAGGAAATACCCAAAGCTTGGGTTTATATCATTTCCTCAACGGTTTGGAAAGAACAGTTCCTTTAGTTTTCCTTGTTTGCAAACTATTTTAAATTGGACATGGAACTGAATGAGCATAAAACTCTTTCATTCCTCTCTAATTCTTACTTCACCGACTTTCCTTTGCCTTCTTTTCTTGAAATAGAATTTTGCAAAATGTTTCTCCATCACTCTATGTAGTCAGAAGAACCCTGGTTCTTACTCTGAGGCTATGACTTGATGTCACTCATTGATGATTGTAACCGCCAAAAAATGCAAGTTGTTTGACGATTTTTGGTCTTATATTCTTTCTTCATCGCTTTTGTCTTCTCAATGCTGTTTGCCTTCAAACTTTATCGAGTATACTGCTACTCTTCCTCCTTTTTTTGGATCCAAATTTTTAGCTTTTTTAAGATGTCAAACGATGCCACTAAAGTCCCACCATGATGAACATGGTCTAGGAAGAAAAGTAGATAGTGATAAAACCCAATAGCCAAGGATTTGGTGGTTCAGGTTCGATCCTGCATAAAGATCAAGAGCAAACATTAGGCCATGGTCTGTGATTGAACCCTTTTTTAATCATTAACAATGTCTCTTTTTCTTTGATATTTGTCAGCCACTTCTACAGTGGAGCTTGTTGATATGAAGCTATCATTGACACTCTTTCATGAAAAACTTAAGTTAATTTCCATACAACTTCAACACTTATGGGTGTGTTTACTGTAATCCAGAACATACAGTTCATTAGCTTTATTTCCTGTCCTATTAATCCCCTGGTCTACATCTTATTCTTATTAGAAGCAAGAACAACTCAACTCTGTTTTTCTGATTCTTTCATGCTGTCTTTAGTTTCATTGCTGCCGCCTGACTCTTTTCTTTCAAAAGCTTATTGAGGTACCCCAAACAGTTAAAAAAGATAGCATGAACTCTTCATCAACTCAGTTCGTGACTTCGGGAGGGATGGGGATGTATGATCATATGCACCAGCTTAGCATGTGGGGAGAAAGTTTCAAGAGTAATGGAAGTCCTCATCCACTGTCATCAATGCTTCTACCGAATACATCCCCGTCATTGATTATAACAGCAGATATGAAGCTAGACAATCAGGTTACTGTCACGCAGGTCCTTTCAGTTTGCTGTTTGATTCTTCATCGATAGAGTCTGAATTCTGACGTATTATTCTCTTCTGCAAATTTTGCAGTCAGAAGATACTTCCGGGACCCCTGGACCGCTTAATAAGTACGACCAAGAAGTGACTAAATCGAGTGAGAAGGTAATGTAACAGATTTAGCTTCTTTCTCTTGGTCCCGTCTTTGGCATCATAGGCTACAGTCTACCAGTATTTTGTTCTACTTGGTTTTGGTCAGCTTGCATCTGTTGGCTTTCTTATAATACAAGTTAGCTCTCCCTTGGTTGGGAAACCCTGTCTTCTATATGATTGTGCTGGTTTGAGCAGTTAGGTTTATAAGGTCGCTTCTCAATCTGTACAGATACAAAGGCGTCTTGCCCAAAACCGTGAGGCTGCTCGTAAAAGTCGTCTACGTAAAAAGGTAAAAAAAAAATGTGGATTGCATAAGAAGTTAATAACCCATCAATCTAGTACACATCATAAGATGTACAGAATGCTGATTCTATCTAATTTCCTTGTGTAGGCATATGTGAAACAACTAGAATCAAGTCGTTTGAAGTTGATGCAGTTGGAGCAGGAGCTTGACAGAGCCAGACAACAGGCATGTCTCAGACTATATTTGTGCTGGGTTCTTCTTCTGATTTTCAGCTTACAGCCTTGCCTCACCGCTTTCGTTTTGTAAATTGTTAATTCAACTGAATTAATCAAAAAAAAAAAATTTCCAGGGTTTATATGTGGCCAGTGGAGTAGAAGCTAGTCATGTGGGGTTTAATGGAGCAGTAAACTCAGGTCAGATTCGCTGCAATTGTTCATTTTTCATCTGTCGTGTCGAATGCAGATCTCGTAGTTGTTTGTTTGGTAAAGCTGTCCACTACATAAAAATAAAATTACTCTCCTGGCTATCTGGTTCTCAAGTATAGCTCCCATATCTTACAGGAATCGCAACATTTGAGGCGGAGTACGGACATTGGCTAGAGGAGCAGCAGAAGCACGTCTCTGACCTTCGAGCCGCTGTAACTTCCAACATAAGCGATGGAGAAATGCGCGTACTTGTAGAAGCTAGCTTGAACCACTATTACGAACTCTTCCGCATGAAGGGAGCTGCAGCCAAGGCCGATGTGTTCTATGTCATGTCTGGCCTGTGGAAGTCTTCAGCAGAACGGTTTTTCCTCTGGATTGGAGGCTTTCGTCCATCAGAACTTATTAAGGTAGTGACTGATGAATCAACCTTTTTCTGTGCATGTGCATGTGCAATGTAATTTTTTTTAAGAGGGTATTAAAAGAGTGTTGCTTCACCTGGCAGATTTTGAGGCCAAAGATTGAGCCCTTGGCAGAACCACAACTTCAGGGTATCTGCAACCTAGGGCAACTATGCCAACAAGCGGAAGACGCCCTGTCGCAAGGGATGGACAGACTTCAGCAAACGCTAGCTCAGAGTGTAGCAGATGGTCAACTGGGAGAAGCAAGCTACTCGCCGCAGATTGATACTGCCATGGAGAAGTTGGATGGCGTAGTTCGTTTCGTTCGCCAGGTAACATTTCAGCATCTTCTGTTGAGCATTATGGTCCAGAGGCTACAGTCTAGACTGGTCCATGTGTTTTTAACTCGTGTAATGTTACTGGGTTACTTGGTCTCTACACCTGCCTTACGCAAATGTTGTATCGAAAACCAGGCGGACCATCTGCGGAAAGCAGCCCTTGTGCAGGTGTCACAGATCCTGACACCGCGTCAGGCAGCTCGAGGACTGCTGGTTTTGGGAGAATACTTTGAAAGGCTTAGGGCTCTAAGCCAAGTCTGGGCAACGAATACTAGGGAGCCGGAGTAGGGTTCTGATGCTTCCTCCGCAAGGCAAGACCTGGAGACGGGGATTTTCGCTATGTCGATTGATGTCTTTGTTGATAATGTTGTAGTTGAGAACATGTCTCTGTGGGGGGCATATATATATATATAATCTTTCTTAGCTTCTAGCTGCTGAGATTTTTGAAGCAGCCTCAAGATCCCTTTAATTGATAAAATTGTAAATATTATTTTACCAATTTTCAACTCCCTAGCAAGTTTGCATAAAGAGAGAGGATGGAATAAAGATCATTTCCAAGCGTGTGCAAGCAAGGAAGAGCTTTATTTGTTTGTACTAGTGAAAGTTTCTGTATATACAGATTGTTGTTAAAGCTAGAAAAACAATAATTTGTACTTTGTTGCTAGAGCTAGGATTATATGAGGATCTTGTGGACAATATTGTTAGATTTGGTTTTGTTTGGGTGTTTTGGGGTCTGCAATTTGGTGCTTTCTAGTTTATACACTTTTAATGTTGTTAGATGATCTTAGTGTATTCAATTAATCATTTCAAAATGTGATTCTTCTTATTTATTTTTGGTAATGGATGAATGAGATGTAGTATTAACAGTAATCGGCAACATACAAAAATGTGTATTCCATAACAAAAATGATCCTTGCCCAGTTGACCTCTCCTATTAGCAGTTTTCAAGCTCAATAATCATCAGATCATCTACTTCCTTGATACTCTTCCAAATCCTTGTTGAGTTGTTGTCGATGAATTATCCATACATATCCGGGACATGATACAATAATAACACTCTATGTGTTGTTACAGTAACAACATGATTCATTAAGGGCAAAACTGGAAACTTACAATAAAAATAATAAAAATAACAATTAATGAGATCCCCTAATCCAATTCCCCTCCGCTCTGTTCTCCTTCTCCATCGCTAGCGTTCTCCTCCGATTCCCAAATTCCAACTCTCCTCCGGAGGAGAAACCCTACTCCGGCGCCGGCAAATATCAAGTACACAGGGTTGGATCTCCTTATAGCGACCGAAATGATTCCGCCATTCTTTCTCCGTCCAGAGCTTCGCGACAACCAGCGACAGCAGCAACGGCCACAAAGAGAAGAGAGAGATGGAGTTCGCGAAGGTAGCGGCAGAAGGAAGTGACGGTGGCGGAAGAACGGAGAAGGCGGGGAGAGTGGGAAGCGGCAGAGGCTTCGTTGTCGCCGGAGACAACGGAGGAGATTTCCTTCTCCCCGATTTTCCTTCCTCGCGCGGCCGCCACTATTCAGTCCGCTTCGTCAATCCACCGTATCTAGCAGCTGCAGAAACCTAATTGCCCCTTTCGACGATAAAGCTCTGGCGCTGCTCAGGTCCAGTACCAGCATAATCGAGAAGAAGGACTGAACGCACGAGTTCAAATATGTGGGGATTGTAATCGAGGAGAATGCTGGCGACGAACCGGCGGGTGTCTTCGCTGCGGTGATCAAAACCATCAATTGTCCAATGAACTCTGGAGGACGAAGAGCTATTACGGACACCATTGCTGGAGGTCTTGATCGAGAAGCTCGATTGAAGAGCAAAGGAAGGAGAGAACGAAGGAAAAGTCGCAGATTTATTGATTGAATTGGGAAAGTTACAGCGTCAATTACATAGCCAATATATATACAAAGGCTAAAATCCTCTTAAGTACACAAAGCAAAGAGCCATTACATAACAGTCCTATTTCTAACTAAACATTGCAGATAGGTCCTCAGATTTTACCATCCTCGGACAACAACCATGATGCGCGGTGGTCAGGCAACAATGAGAAATGGCCCCGTCATTAGAAATGGGCGTGGTGCATCAACAACCAACACTCAAACGTGGAGACAAGAATCAAATATTGCTACCATGAACCCTCGGCTCTTTGCAATGACACGCATAGAGGCCAATGCAGCTCCTGAAGTGGTCACTGGTACGGTTACTATTAGCAATTTGAGTGCTTATCCCTTAATTGATCCGGAATATAATTGAAATTTGATGTTTTTTTTTTTTTTTTTGACAAGGAAATTTGATGTTTTAAGCACATCATAAACTTTCTTATACAAACCACGAACATGATAAAAAAGATAAAAAAAAAAAACACCAGAAACCTCATAATGCAAATCACAAACACGATAAAGCAAACCACAAAAACAAACCAGAAACGTTCTAATGCAGACCAAAAATCTATTAAAACAAACCAGAAACCTCACAAAGCAAACCACAGAATTTTCAAAAGCACACCAGAAACCTCATAATGCAAACCACAAACACGATAAAGCAAACCACAAAAACAAACCAGAAACGTCCTAATGCAGACCAAAAATATATTAAAACAAACCAGAAACCTCACAAAGCAAACCACAGAATTTTCAAAAACACACCAGAAACCTCATAATGCAAACCATAAACACGATAAAGCAAACCACAAAAACAAACCAGAAACGTCCTAATGTAGACCACAAATCTCCTAAAACAAACCACAAACCCCTCAATGCAAACCACAAAATTTTTGAAAGCAAACCAGAAACTTCTCAATGCAAACCAGAAACTTCTCAATGCTAACCAAAAACGCGATAAAGCAAACCACAAAAGGCATACAAAAATGTGAGAAACCAAACCATAAATCTCACAATGAAGACCATAAAATCCGGTGGTCGTTGACCGTTGACCGGTCAACAGAGTTCGTTGACTGAACTCCGATGACCGTCAGTGAGCAGATCCCGACGCCGATAGGCACCCGATGACTATATTCCGACGCCGGTAAGCATATTCCGGCGACAGTGGCATATTCCGATGATAAAATAGCATATTCCGGCGACGAAAAGCATATTCCGGTGATCGGCGACCAAAATTTTGGGCAGAAAAATATTTTTTATTTTTTTTATTTTTCATAATGACAATTATACCCCTGCTTTGATTTTACACTAGGTCAACTCAACTAATAAAAAGTTATCACAATCCTAGCTTCCTATTGATTGGAGACTAGTGTTGTTACAATAACAACAAAATGAGTGTTGTTATAGTATCTAGTCCCTACATATCCCCTTGAACAATTGCTCAAAATAATGCCAATAGGAATGGTGTAATATACCTTATTATTTCACTTAAATAAAATCTGGTGAATCGAGATATCTTGGCACTCCATGAACATTATAACATTTATCAAAGTGACCATATTTTAGGAAGTCCATATCAGTCAGTAACCTTAAGTTATGCTTAGGCCTTGTGTCTATATTATACGCCCGGTGTCTTTTCGTGGGCATAGCCAATTTGATACTCAAGTCGTTTCCAAATGACACTCTTCCTTTCGAGATGCCTATCCCATACAAAGCAGCGAATTTGAGCGTCTGGCAACGATGACGCTATTATTTTAGTGTTTTCAAGATCTTGTATCTAATACATTCGATTAACGGCGATAGTATTTTATTTATTTATTATTAAAAATAGAAGGAACTACACTGCAGCTAGCTACAACAACTAAAATGAAAATAGAAGGAACTACACAGCAGCTAGTGTTGGGATTTTTAGTGGTGTGAATGGAAATAAAAGGGGAAAGTTTCAAGAGAGTCTCTTGAAGTACCATGTTGGTAAGATGTGGGAAGGCACGGCCTCAAATTCGATCGATTTGATGTAATATGTGGTTAATTGGTTAAATTGGTTTGTGTAACCAAATGAACCAAACCGAGTTGAACCAATTCGAACCGAACCGATATGGCGGTTGGAATAACCAAACCGGTCCAACTTCCATGAGGCCGAACCAATGCAATGGTTTAAATATTTTAAACGAACCAATGCAATGGTTGGGGTGTAACCACCCATATGAAGAGTCGCCTCCCTTCGTACGCACCCCTTCATTTTCTATAAATAGCACCTAACCCCCTCTAGTTTTAACTACAAGTTTTACATAGATTTTTCCGATACGAAAATTCTGCCAAAATCCAAAACTAGTTTTCTGCATTCTTTTCAAAGAGAAAATAGAGTCAAGTGTGGTTCTCGCCGTTTCGCTGCGTTCGATGGTGTTTCCGGGGTTTGAGGTACCGCTACGCCGGAAAAGGTACGTCCTTTCTATCCTGGGAGGAATCATTCCACAACCTTGGGTACTTGAGGGGAATAAGATTCTTTAAGGAGAGATAGTGAATTCTATCGGCTAGGATGCTTGCATGTGTCTTTGCATGTTTTCTTAATCTTATGTGTTTGCTTGTGTTGCAAGAAAATAGTATACGTGAACAATTTTCCCAACAATCTTAAAGAATCTTATAAATTGCTAATTGTTCACGGTATGGTTAGGTTAAGAATAATTGCAAGACAAATTGGGTTGTTCATCTTTAATGGACATATAAATCACTTGTATGGCAGATTTTGGTCATTGTTCCATGCATGCGAGGGCATTTAATCATTTTTTTTATTTGGTTAATTGAGAGGAACCCTGGGTTCCTATACATGTGTTGCATGCATTTGAAAAAAGGTGAAACGTTGCATGGTTAGAAAAAAAAAAAATGTTCAGTTGGCATGGGTCACGGTTGCGGTTATGTTTATGTATATCTATATATAAGTGTCAAAGCCTGCCGTTCTTGGATTCTTTTTCCAAAATCAGAAAGAAAGGAAAAGCAACCGAGTCATATAATTCTGCTTTAATTACGGGTTCATTCAATTTCGTTGGTTTGGTTACCAAGAGGAGAAAGTATCATTCGCGATTCAATTCCAGAATCAGGTAACACCCTATCTCCATGTCATTTGAAAGGAATTTGGTTGTTGTTCCCCCTTTTGCCATGCGAATGGTGGCAGTGCACTGGCAATGTATGTGTTAATTACATGAAAACTGTTGGTTTTGGGAAAATAATATATATTTGTAAAATATAATTTATACTTGGCTTTGCAACTTGTGTCTCTCTGGTATAATTTGAGAAATATATATATGCTGGTGCATGCATGTAGTCTTTCTATTTTCATCAAGAGATATGTCTCTGGTGGATCGGTTTGAAAGGAATTGGGTTCCTGTAATAGTTATGTGCATGGGCAAAGATTTTAACGGTTGGTTTATGTTTATATATGCATGCAAATATTGTTGTCCAATGTATGCAAATTAAGTCACTGGTCAGTTTTATTACCAATGCAAAATTCGGTTCGGTTGGCAATATGTGTATTTCATCCATGCATTGTAATTGGCCATTCAGAGTTGCATATGAGTTCAATGTGTGCGTGATGGAGATGATTCTGTTATACACTTTGTGCTCTTGAAGTGAATTGGACAAGATGGCTGGAAGCATTCCAAAGCCGGAGCACCCCGTCAATGTTGATGAAGATGACGATGACGTCATAGAGGTCATCAATATCGAATCAGATCCAGAGATCATTGATCTTTCTACTCCCGAAATGGAGTTTGAGAATGACGAATGGTTCGACTTTTATGACGATAGCGGGGATGTGCTATATAATGACATTGGTGGAGAGCATCCAACCAATTATTGGACTCTAGATGATATACCCATCTATGATTGGTACTCAATGGGTCCTAATGTGGACGATTTGGGCACCCATGTGG